ATTTACGCGACGCCCGATGCGTCGGCTACCTCCGTCTACCAGCACGTGGTGAGGAAACATCGCATGCGCAAAATGCAGGGTAGGTCACCATGCGTCCTGGCTGCTGTACCCAGGGTAGCTGCAATACTACAGCCAAACCTGTGTATTAAGGTCACTTATGTGGAAGCTCACAAGTGTCCTCTATAGACAGTTGTCCAGTGTGCGTGGTAATGCGTTCGTTAGAAGGTGGTTTTCACTGCATGACTGCTGCATAATCGCAAAAGATTGTTTATAGACAGTTGTATTCTGTGGAGGCGTGTGATAACAAGATGGACTGTTTGCAGTCGAATCAGTGCTAGGAACTTCTGTAGATTATATGGATGAACGCTTTAAGGCTTGGTGAAGCTACTTAAACATGACACCAGGTTTAATTTCATTTAATTACCAATACAATCACAGCAAGTTTCCACCCGTCTATAAAAATCCCTTGATTTTCCTACAGTGATCTTTATATACAGGTTTACCTTACGTGTTACCGTTCTGTGGCCAGTGTATTGGCCAGTGTGTACCCATTATTTTTTTAATTATTGTATCCACGCGACGAAGTCGGCCGCCGCCGCAGACACTTTCCCTTTCGCTCTATAACTCGGCCCCTAATTGACCTAGCGCGACCAAACATGGTCTACTTACACATTTTGGGGAGAAGGTGCGCAGCGTACCAAAACCAGGTCACTGCGACCTTTATTTGACCTTGATCATATTTTCCTTCCGCTCTATAACTCGGCCCCTAATTGACCCAGCGCTACCAAACTTGGTATACATACACATCTTGGGGAGAAGGTGTGTCGCATACCAAAACCAGGTCACTGCGACCTTTATTTTACCTTGACCTTGACCTTGATTATATTTTCCTTCCGCTCTATAACTCGGCCCCTAATTTACCTAGCGCGACCAAACTTGGTATACTTACACATCTTGGGGAGAATGTGTGTCAGGTACCAAAACCACGTCACTGCGGCTGTTATTTGACCTTGACCTTGACCTTGATCATATTTCCCTTCCTCTCTATAACTCGGGCCCCTAATTGACCTAGCGCGACCAAAGTTGGTATACTTACACATCTTGGGGAGAAGGTGTGTCGTGTACCGAAACCAGGTCACTGAAACCTTTGTTTGACATTGACCTTGAACTTGACTTTGACCTTTATCATATTTCCCTTCCGCTCTATAACTCGGCCCCTAATAGACCTAGCGCGACCAAACTTGGTATACTTACACATCTTAGGGAGAAGGTGTGTCGCGTACCGAAACCAGGTCACTGCTACCTTTATTTGACCTTGACCTTGACCTTCATCATATTTCCCTTCCGCTCTATAACTAGGCCCCTAATTGACCTAGTGCGACCAAACTTGGAATACTTACACATCTTGGGGAGAAGGTGTGTCGCGTACCGAAACCAGGTCACTGCAACCTTTATTTGACATTGACCTTGACCTTGACCTTCATCATGTTTCCCTTCCACTCTATAACTTAATTGGCCCCTAATATAATTGACCTAGCGCGAGCAAACTTCGTATACTTACAAATCTTGGGGAGAAGGTGTGTCACGTACCAAAACCCCTAAGGCAACCAATTTTAACATTCTTACACATCTCAGGCAGATGAGTTGTGTAACAAACCTTTGTCTTTGTGACTTATTTAACTTTACCTACCTTCTACGTCTTTACAGAGATATGTCATTCATACTAGATCACGGGGGATACATGTAGTTGGCGACAACTGCCCTTTCTAGTTTTTAGCTCATCTGACATAGTCAGATGCAGCTTGTAGAACCGCATGAGCGTGCGTGCGTGCGTGCGTCCGTGCGTGCGTCCGTGCGTCCGTCCGTGCGTCAACAGTTGGGCACGTTCGATGTTGGGCTTGATGTACGGTCACGATATTGGGGATGTTGGGGGGGATCGTCAAAACGAGTTGGGATGTTGAAGCTGGGGGTCAAAGGTATAGGGAGGAAATGCAGAATTGCGGCACAAATCTAAACGGCTCGACCTAGGCTATGCAGCTGATTGCAGAGGGCGCTAGTGAGAAGATGTCGACGCAGCAGAAGCGCATGCTGGCTCGCCGGCGTCTCCTGGAGATCATTGGCAGCAAGATGCAGCAGCTGCATCTTTACAACTGTATCCTTCACAGATATATTCTATCCTATATTTGATATTGTTGATTTTACTGGATTTACTATTGCTTCAAAAGTTACAAAAACGCATTTTTTTGATAAAATACCCGAAGGTAAGTAATATTATGGTAAAAACTTATTGTTTATTGTTTTTTACTGAAAAAAATATATAGTTGGGTTCACATTAGAAATATTTGACCGGACCCGTAGCCTGAGAGTTGGGCGTCCGGTAACTGGACGCGTAGACACGGCCTATTTCCTATTATATCCTATATTTCACTGCGCAGCGCGGAAGTCGCGTGAGTGATTTGAAAGTGTGTCATCTTTTTACAATTAAACCTGTATATATAGTGGGTGGGGGGGTGTATAGTGCGACATCAGGAGTTTCTTGACAGCGGGCGACTTTCTTGCGGGCGGTATCTTGTCGATGCCTAATATCTCGACGTGTCAGCGATGCCTTTCTTTTTGGTGGCATTAGCTGGGCACTTGTTATAATCAATTTTTTGCCGTTTGGAAACTTTGACTTATGTTATAACGAAATGCGCTCCATTTAAGAAACAATGTAAAAACAATGTATAACATTTCTCTGGTTAGATTAGATGGAGCGACTTAGCTCCATCTTAGAAAATCTTAG